GCTCTGAGCTGTCAGCACAGAGCCTGACATGGAGCCTGATTGAACTCACGGACCACTAGATCATGGCCTAAGCTGAAGTTGTACACATAACTGACTGACCCAGCCAGGAACCCCAGCCTGTGATCCAATTTAACTTCATTTTTGTGAAGACTCTAAGATCTCTGTCTAGATTCTTTGTTTTTCATGTTGATGCACAGTTGTTCTAACATTATATTTGAAAATCTTGTCTTTGCTCCTTTGTCAAGATCAGTTGACTGTACTTATGTGGGCTACTTCTTGGCCATCTATTCTGTTCCTTTGATCTATTTGTCTGTTCTTTTGCCAACACTACATTGTCTTGATTAATGTGGATCTACTTATTTTCAGATTCTGTTGTCACCTTTCAAGGAAGATCAATTTGGTATTACCTTTAAAAAGATACATTTATCTATATTTAATCTTGATTTCTCTTTCTTATTCACTCCTTTATTAAGTTTATTTGTTTTGAGAGGCGGAGAAAGAGAGAGAAAGAGAGAGAGCAAGCATGAGTGGGTGAGGGGCTGAGAGAGAGAATCTCAAGTAGGCTCCACACTGTCAGCACAGAGCTAGACATGGGGCTTGAACTCACAAACAGTGAGATCGCGAGATCGTGACCTGAGCCAAAATCAAGAAACAGACACTTGGGGTGCCTGAGTGACTCAGCTGGTTAAGCGTCCGACTTCAGCTCAGGTGGTGATCTCCCAGTGTGTGGGTTCGAGCCCTGCATCAGGTTCAGTACTGGAAGCTCAGATCCTGGAGCCTGTTTTGGATTCTGTGTCTCCCTCACTCTCTGCCTCTCCCCTACTCATGCTCTGTCTCTCTCTGTCTCAAAAATAAACTATACAAAAAAATACATAAAACAAAAAAAGAAGCAGATGCTTAACCAATGGAGCCACCCAGTCACACCTCTTATTCACTCTTAAAAGAAATACCTGTACTCCATATGTTCAGAATCTCAACTTCCTCCACTCCCATTTATTTTTGTTTTGCAGCCTAAGCTTTTCAAAGATATTAGGAAATACTTCAGTCCTACCCACCAAATTGTAACCTTCCCTTGTTTTTGAGACATCAGACTTCTCCGAATCTGCTCATTCCTCTGACTACTCATTATCTCTCCCTCCCTTCATTCTCTTTCTCTCTCTCATTCTCTGTAGATCTCTGTCTCCATTTGTCTTTTCTCGGTTCTACTTTTGCTAACGACCTAATAATGTCAGTGCTGATTAGAGTTTTGTTCAGGACCTTGCGGTCTTCCTACTCTTCTAAATTCATGACAACAATAATGGCCAACTAATTGAAATTAGGAGCTACTTTTTCTAGGGATTTTTATATGACGCTACAAATTTTAAACTTATCATCTTATATAACCTTCAAAACAACCCAAGGTGCCCAAGATCCTTTTCTGTTTCATTGTTCCAATTAATTATTCATGTGGAAAAATACCTAAAACAGTAAACAAATTTTATTTTTTAAAATATCATGATTTTGTGGGTTAGGAGTTTGTACTGACCAATGCTTTTGCTTTACTGACAACTTTCAGGAGAATAACAATTTACTCATACTTAGGAAATAATTAACAGCTTTATGGAAGAATAAGTCATGATTTGAAAAAGCAAAACAAAAGTGTTGTCTATCCAGAGAGAAAAAAATGTTTCTTCACATTTATGTACATGTACATAACTTCAAAAATTATTCCTTCTAAATAATAAAATAATATCTGTTAAAGGGTTTTAGAATTAAGAGTATATTAAAAACTTACTGGGTTTTCGGGTATGTTTCCCTTGAGTATAATGATACAATTTTTGATGTACAGGTCTGTGTTTTTGCATATTATCATAAAGAGAATTTATTGAAACTATAAATAATGTTGGTTAATATTGAAGTACTAATGTTGGTGGATCTCTGCCTTGGCTTTCAGTGTATTACATTCTCATACAAGTGCCTTTGAAGTAACAACAAAGTAACTGAGCTCACTTCAAATTCTTCTCAAGTTCCATAATTATGTCATTAGAGAAATTTACCTCATATTTGAACATGTTCAGTAACTCCACCATATTGTCTAGCTTAATATTCTGAGAAGGAAAGGTTTGAAATGTTATATGAATTGTTGGCTGATTGCACTTGATCTGAAATTGCCTGCTCATTACCATCCAAATCATTGGCAGCTTATCAAGTCAACTCCGGTTATGAAAATGAAGCACATGTCACCGTACCATACGTATGTGTGCTTTGACAAATATAGCATTTTACACATAAGATATTAAGGAAATATTTTTAAATTGTAATTTAGAAAATAAAGTTCACAGTGAATATATTATTATTTACTAAAGTTGGCTGTTTATTTTGCACTAGTCCAAGATCCGAGTGTTTCTTTAAGGCACATACGCGTTTCTGCTTCTCTAACTATTTTAATTTAATAAATGTTTGATAATAATTCAGTTGTATTCCCTAACATTATAGCAGAGTAGCAGCAGATGCACAGAAAATATAATGCACAAGTGAATTAAAGTAGCTAGGGTAAAGAAGTCTCACAAATTGTAGTAAAGTTGATCAAAAATGATCTATATTAAATGTAACAATACAACAAATGAAATCAAGTAAATAATTATCTTGTAATAAAGACAAAACAGCAAAGTATATCAAGAAAATTGATTTGATTTGACATTATTTTGACATATGACATTGCACACTAATACAATGCTTCTTGTTCCATGGCCATCAAGTTTTTCAGAGAATTCAGCAATTTGTTTTCGGCACTTCTTGCCTCAATAAAAATATGTTGGAGGAAGAAATCAATGAGTAATAAAGCATAGAAATCATTGTTTTTTCCAAGTAATTAATATATTCTGAATCTAAAAAAAAAAAATCCCTTATGTCATAAAATGATGTAATTCGGAGTGGTTTGGTTTCCAGAAGATTGTGTTAGTACTATTCCAGAAGAAAAGGTGTGAATCTAAATGAAGCGTCTTATCTCTAGCCTCATTTGCCTATGGTTGTGGTGCAAAGAGAAAAATAAAAGAAACAAATGTCCAAGACTCTTGAACTTTCCGGAATGCTAAAGGGCAGAATTGGAAGTGTTTTGTGTTGCCATGGTGAAGTCAGAGATGTTTGTGGCTGTTTACTGCAACATGCTACGCTATTATAATTTGTAGATGTGTATTTTATTTTAAAGTTTATTTATTTTGAGAGAGAGAGAGAGAGTGCAGGAGGGGAAGAGAAAGAGGGAGAGAGAGATAATCCAAGCAGCCTCCTCACTGTCACCGTGGAGCCCAAGGTGGGGCTCAAACTGACAAACGTGAGATCCTGACCTGAACAGAAACCAAGAGTTGGCCACTTAACCAACTGAGCCACCCTGACATCCTGCAGATGTATATTTAAAAGAAGAGATGGAGTCATACGTTAGCACTTTGTTCCAACAGAATTGTGTTACTTATTTTGTGAGCATATTCGAGTGAACTGAAGTTGTTAAAATTGAAAATACATCACAGAAAATACTTTTAGTGAAGATCCTATGCCAGATCAAGGACTCAGTGAAATGATTTAGACTTACTGGTATCACTACTTCCCAAGCATAGTCAAATTAATGATCTATATAACTAGATTTTGCCATTTACAGATATGAATCTGTGGCTGTGCAGAAGGCAGTAAGTCAAAAACCTTTATACCCAAGAGTTCTTTAGATTGAATAACCATAAATCTATACATTTTTATATAGAGGGATCCTAAGAGGAAAGTGCCAGACAATTCTTTTTGTGACCATGAAATGGCACAGAATGCAAGCTATCTTAAAATGTTGTGTATTTTACATAGATTGAAAAAAGTATTGTGCTTTGATTCTGCCATGATGAAAGACATTGCACTCACTTAAACAACTAGAAAATCATCAAGATGATTAGGAAAATCTCTGAAGACTTTGCATTTTAATGAGACCATAATTATTCATCTAAATTTTTCCAAATGAAAGTTTTAGCCTACGATGTTCAGAGCTCATTAAAGAAACATGATATTTTGAGGAAAATGCAATATTTTAAATTAAAGGTTAAGTGTTAGAGTAAAAACAAGACATAGACTGAGAAAATCTTAAGTAACTGATAGTAGTTATAATAGCTCTTTGTTGTATGACCAGAAAAACAATATTCTGTAATACATATGGAGTGGTTATAAAACGGTGATTCCAAGAAGAAAACAAATCTCTATGATATAAACAACTTAGTAAATGTAAAAATTATATCACAAAAACTCAAATGTAAAATGCATATTTCTTGGAGGCACCTGAGTGATTTGGTTGGTTAAGGGTCTGACTTTGGCTCAGGCCACTATCTCAAGGTTCATGGGTTTGAGACCTGTGTCAGGCTCTGTGCTGACATCTCAGAGCCTGAAGCCTGCTTTAGATTCTGTGTCTCCCTCTCTCTGCTCCTCTGCCACTCATGCTCTGTCTCTTTCCCTCAAAAGTAAACATTAAAAAATAATAATAAAATAAAATGCATATTCCTTACAAATAATTATTTAGAAAATTGTTGCATAGCCATCACCCCCTCATAGTAATCCTCTTATCACAATGATGGCAATAAATTTCAATTACTTTTTAGAGATATTCCTATGGTAAAAAGTGCAGTCTATTTTAAAGTAATTTATGCATTGCAATAAGGTTCCTTTTTATTATTTCTGAATAAAAAGTGTAAAGATTTGAATCAGCTGTGAAAATTAACATATGCACCTTCCCAGGATCAAAAAGAACTTAGGGCCTACAGGAGAAAACCTAGGAAAAATTTCACATACTTCACTGTTTTTTCTTTGTTTAAAGGGGAAAAAATATCTTCGAGGAAACTCTGGGTTGAACTCATATGTTTCCAGCAAAGTTTGAATTCTCAGTTTGAAAATTAAAATAGAATCTATCAGAGGGTTGTTTTTGTAGAAAAAAATCTGTCAAGAAAGCTTTAAATGACAGAAAGAGATATTGGAATATCAATAAAAATGCCTTTAACCTCATATGCCATTTGATTAGAATCTTTGCTGCCCTGTTTGGAAGCAGTTTTGAAGTCAGTCATAAAGGCTTCATGACGAGTAGGAGCAGGTGGCTGGGACTGATTGAGAGTGTCACTGGGCCACACCTCAGACATCCCTGTGTCTTGAGTTCTGTATACACCTGGGAAGGAGAATGGGGAGGAGATGAGATTCTTCCTATAAAGAAATTTGTAATCTTAATGTTTAACCAATTAAATAGCATATACATTCTTTTAGTAAGCCCCCTAAACTGTGATCCAAACTGTAAGAGTTTGTATCAATATCATTTAGCATACATTAAATAATAAATGATGAACTGTCTGGTCAAATTCCCAGTCACCACTCCCTGGAACAAAAGACCCCCTTTTTTTAATGTTTTATTTTCAAGTAATCTCTATACCAATGTAGGGCTCAAACTTATAAACCTGAGATCAAGAGTTGCATGCTTTACCACCTGAGCCAGCCTAATGCCCATCTTTTTTTTTTTTTTTTTTTTTTTTTTAGTGCCCATATACTTAAAGTACGGTGTTATGTTGGTTTCAGGTGCACAATATAGTGTTTCAACAATTCTGTACATTACCCAGTGCTCATCACAATAAGTGTACTCATAATCCTCTTCATCTATTTCACCTCTTCATCCCTCCACTTACCTTCAATCTGGTAACCACGAGTTTGTTCTCTACCTTCAAGTCTGATTTGTTTGTCACCTCTTTTTGCTTTGTTTGCTTGTTTTGTTTCTTAAATTCTACATATGAATGAAATCGTATGGTATTTGTCTTTCTCTGACTGACTTATTTCATTTAGCATTATACCCCTTAGATCCATCCATATATAAGATCCATCCAAAATAAGATATATAAATATAGATATAGATAAGATATATATAGATATCTATATATATCTTATTTTTTCATTATCTATAGATATCTATATATATCTTATTTTTTCATTCATCTATTCATCTCTATATATCTATATAAGATATAGATCTTTCATTCATCTATTCATGGACATCTTATATATAGATATATATAAGATATAGATATAGATATCTATATATATCTTATGTTTTCATTCATCTATTGATGGACACTTGGGTTGTTTCCATATTTGTCTATTATAAATAATGCTGTAATAAACTTAATAGGTCCAGTTATCTTTATGGATTTGCACACCAAGCTCTTTAACTATTGTTTTACATAATGCTTGTTAAGCTTAATTTACTTTCCAGTGCATCATAACTATGCTACAAAAATCTATATACATATATATCTAATTAGTATCTAATTACTCTATCATTCTATCATAATTAGATCTCTCTTTGTCTCTCTGTCTGTTTCTCTCTCTAATGTATATATATATATCTGTGTTTAAATTTTATCAAATGGACTTCAGTGCCTTTCTTCTGTTAGTATATTTAATTTTTTATTATTGACATATAAACTGGAAAACTCTAGATCTAGTACGTTCATGTATATGTAATTTCTCACTCCACCCAAGAACTGATAAGGTACATTTTATTGACTTAACTTAGTGGAACTTACCATTAAGATAACTTGTTTGTTGTTGTTGTTGTTGCTTTGTTGTTTTTTTTTTTCCTCTACTTCCCATTCCTTTTCGTGATCAAATGCCCATCAAAATTTTCTTTAATTTACCATTATGTAGAGATCAGTAGCATTGACTACATGTTCTTATACCAAATTCTACTGTGAAAAAAAATGCTTATTTGGAAAAGTTCAAGGAAAGGGATGTGTAAGCACAATATACCCTTAAATTACTAATTAATCCATGGCAGGATGGCTAAGAAGCAAAGGTTTCTTGGGACACTACTTGGTCACCATCACTTGTGACATTACAGCAAGTAATTTATTTATTTCTAAAGACAAGTAGAGTAATGCAGTTTACACAAAGCTTGTTACTAAAACAAAACATATTAAAGTTTTCCAAATAATGTTATTCTTAATTGCTTTCTGATGTGTTTTTATTAAATTGAAGAAGTAGAGCTCACTGTGAATTTGATGACAACCAATATCTACCTTTTTGATATGATAGCTATACAGAGTGACAGTTCAAAAATATAGTGAATAGTTTCTTCTATGAAATTCTACAGTGATTTGTTTTTCTAACGTAATCTTAGTTTCACATGGAAATGAGCATTTTGTATCTGCACCACACAATCCTCATTAAAGTAATAGAAATAAGACTCACTGGGCTTATGGTATTAGTCTTATTTTGAGCTGTTTCTTATTTGCGGAAGAAGGCTAGTTTTCTGAATATTTATTAGAGGATTTTAATAGCTCTCTGTTGTAGTTGTGAAAATGTATATCCAAACTGCTGTAGGTTGCCTGAAATTGTGACTGTATCTGTAGTGTAAGTAATTGTTTAATACCAACTAACATATTTAATCATGTAGGAAACACATCAATATTTTTCAAACATTAAGTAGAGAGTAAGAAAGAACACTCTCGGATTAACTCATTATAGACAGATCAGAATTAAAATCTTAAATTCTTTTTTAAAAATGTTTATTCATTTTTGAGAGACAGAGAGAGAGGGCACACATGAGGGGGAGGAACAAAGAGAGGAGACACAGAATCCGAAGCAGGCTCCAGGCTCTGAGCTGTTAGCATGGAGCCTGATGCAGGGCTCGAACTCACTGACCTTGAGATCATGACCTGAACCGAAGTTGGATGCTCAAGAGTGAGCCACCCACGCCCCTCTCAAGTCTGAAAAATTTTAAACTAGTTGGCCAGTGGGGGAATACTTGAATGTTTATGTGTTAACATATTTATAATACATTTAACTTCAGAGCTGTAATAACTGGATGAATAATGCAAATAGGATATTCGGGGAAAAAGACATCCTCTTTGACACAAACATATCAGCACCTAATTTGTGCAGCTAATTAACCAGGTGCTACCGAACAAGTGAGTTCCCTTATCTCATGGACGTTCTGGCACTGAATAAGTCTTTTCAAGTGTGATTGGTATTATAGCATAGTCCGCTTCTTTACACATGTATTTTAGAGAATCTCAAGTAGAAAGTTGTTCAGATAAATGTAGTGGGAGAAAAACACAAGAAGACTAATCTAAGTGGGTGGAACAGCATGTCTGTATCCTTGTTTAAGGGACAGCATGGAATATACAATGACTGAACCAAAGGGAGAGTGATAAGTGACTGGTTGAAAGAGAGGGGCTAAACTGGAGGTCCAATTCAAGTTTTGCTGAAGAGTTTGGAAATCATATCAGGTGGAATAGGAATCCATGGGAGGTTTATACATAAACACAAAATATTATCATTAGTTAAAAAAATTATTATATTTATTTTTTGAGAGAGAAAAAGAGAAAGCAGGGGAAGGGCAGAGAAAGAGGGAGACAGAATCCAAAGCAGGCTCCAGACTTCGAGCTGTCAGCACAGAGCTCATCATGGGGCTTGAACCCATGAACCATGAGATCATGACCTGAGCTGAAACGAAGAGGCAGCCACTTAACCGACTGAGCCACCCAGGCATCCATAATATTATCATTATTGATTTGTAAAGGAAGATTCTGGCTCCATCTGTGCATCTCACAGATGGACAAGAAAGACGCAAGTGTATCAATTTGGAAGGAAGAGATTATAATAACTTAGATTAGAGTGATAGTAGATTGATAGAAAAAGCCAGGTTACATACATATTTGGAGATACATCTACTACAACAAGCTTAGATGTTAGCATTAAAATAATGAAAAATTGTTTAGTATTTATTGCTCTACATAAATATATCAAATACTGCTGAAAAATCAAGTTAATAACCAACAAGAGAGTTCAATGAATTTGAAGACAGAAGTACATTATAGACAACCTTAGAATGTTTAAATACACACACACACACACACACACACACGAGTGCACGCACACCATATCGCATGTGGAAGAATCAGTGCGTTTTCATGTCCAGTAAGTCTCTTGGGTCAGGTTTTGTTGAAAAGAAAGTCTCTAGGAATATGGTTTGGAAAAGATGTAATTGAAACATGCTCCCAGAATTCAGTGGGCATAGCAACATCCTGCTGTGGTAAACCTAACTGGGAGCATTTAATCACCTGAAACTGGATTGGCATAATTATGATTAATATACTTAATTGTAAGGCAAACTTACTAAGCAATTACCTGCAAATGGTCTTCTGGTCTTCCCAAAGTGATCATAATCATTACACATGGCTCTTTGAAAATATGTCTATTATTTTATTTTTACCGCAGAAATGCTAAATCATAATATTTCATTGTGGACCTGAGATTATATACTTTTCCCAGAAGTTTCTTTTGATTGGACAAATTTAGAAAGAATTGGTGTATTTTATAAAGATCCTTTGCTATTTAGCTTCCCTGCCATTTTTTCTCTTTGACTTAATAGAGTAACTTAAGCATATGTGATATAACCAGGTCTTCGAGGGAGGCTAAGCAATTGCCAATAGGAGATTTTTGGAGCAAAGCCAAAATAACCTCAGATAATCACTTGAAAGTTGTTTAATGCCATAGGGCTTCAGTTGAGACTAAGCATCTGGCTGTGAGAGTTTGGGTGATTTGGGATGTATGGTGTTCATAAGGATGCTTGGGGGTAAGTAGGACTTACCGCCATCAGTATTGTGCAATGATTTGGATATAGTTTGGATGTAGCAAAATTTTAAGAATGTACTAACGTTCTATGAACATGTCCCTAAACTCCTTATGTTCCTTCTTCTCTAATACTACAAGTTATCTCTCAGTTCAAAATTGATTCTCTCAAGGTTTCCTCCATTGGCTAGAAGTGAAAGAAAAAACAAAACCAATCTGAATTACAGATGGTTCTGAGTGATATATTGCACTAAATGGAAGTGGATGATTCTATAATTGTACAGAAAAAAAATCTAAATTGGACAACTTTTTTCTGCTTTTTAAAGAGTTGTTCCTATATTTCTCCATAATATTAATTTCGTTTCAACTTCCCCTCAACTAATATAGAAATGTGAATTTCTAAATCACATACAGTAGTTCAGTCTATAGTAAGGGCATACTGTAATGAACAACTCCAAATAGGACATAAGGAAAAAATAAACCAAGAAAAATATGTTCAGACCTCTGAAACAATAGTTTTGAA